CACGACGCTCTTCCGATCTCCCCAAAACCCCAAAACCCCGCTGGCTAATCTTAAAATTGAATGTTATAAAGATTTAAAATAATAGAGTCCTTATTAATTTTGCTGAAATTAAATCCACATAAAAATTGAATTAATTCCACGTAGTCATTTTCCCTATTTAGATAAAATAATTTTCTAATCTGACTTATCATTAGAAGGCTATATTTCTAAGAATTTATCAAGACATGTACGCTATCTACAACTGTGATGATGAAAATGTTGTTCTCTGTTCTTATTGAGGTATAGGTATTTATCTTGATATTTGTTCTCCAAGGTTTTATTTGATAATATAGGCCTTACTGTATCTTTATATCAGTCACAAACTCTTTTCTATTTTATCCTTGCCAGACTAATTTATTAAGGTAATTAAATTTATTTTACAAAGGTGTAGTATTAACTGGTTTACACAACTAGCATTCGTATACTAAGGAATCTAGCAGGAAAGTTTTTCGATCAGAGGAGCTTGCGACGAAGAATTTTCCCATTCAGGAAGAGTTACTAAATATAGATTGATAAAAAGTATATTCAAGAAAGATAATAACTTATAGCTTAAGATTAGAGTACAAAAATTCTTCAAACAATTTAGTCGGTGAAAGAATTATTAATGTGGACAGAAATGAGGTCTGTGATCATTCTATTAACTCTGGCTTATCACACCTACTGTGAAGGTCTTGGTGAAAATCTAATTAGAAATTTACAAGCAATTGGGATTGGATAAGGAAGCGGTACAGGGATAGCAACTTCAAATGGAACAGGCGGCACTGCGATTGGTCAAGGATTTGGCTCTGGAATAGGTCTTGCTTCAGGTGGTAACTCTACTGGAATCGGGAGTGGTACAGGTACAGGAGTAGCCTAGGTTTCTGGAGGAGGGACTGCAGTTGGTACAGGTTCAGGTACAGGAATAGGCATAGCTGGTGGAGGATAATAAGGAAATCTTTGTGCATGTTTGGTACCATGTGCATGTCCCTGGGAAACAGTATCTAGTGGAAGATGTAGCTGCGCCAAATTAGATTGTCCATGTCCCACTTAAGAACCGAGTTAATCAATACCACCTCCAAGTAATGCAACTCAATGTGAGACTTGTACCACTTAAATTCCAACTACAACTTCAGCAACTTAGACTTCTTCTCCATCACCATATCCGATTACCACATCTGAGCAAATGTATCCGACCACACAGGCTCCGTATTATAACAATACTACTGAAGCCCCTACTTAAACATAAACACCTTAACCAACTGAGACTACAGAAACTCAGACAACACAAACTCCGGTACCAGTGCCAATAACTACTGGAAATTATTCATCAGATTAGTGCATCAGTGGGTGCATTAGAAATGATCTAGAACAATCGATTTATGGGGGTGACAGATCTAAATGCGGATGCGGAAACCAAAACGATCTACTCTACTTATGTCCCTGCTTTTATATAGGGTTCTCGCCAGCTATAAATGCTACTGCTACAGGGATTGGTGTTGGGACAGGAATAGGAATTGCAAATTAGAATAACTAAGGATAAAATTAAGGAATGGGAGGTGGTTAATAAGACTAGACAGAAAATAATAATTTAAATAATTAAACTTATCATGACAGTGGAAAATATAAATGTGAGATTAATTAATATTTACAATTAACTTTAGGTAGAGAAAATTAGAATCCTGACAGCTAAACTGGAAACGGAGGACAGTCTAATTAAAATGGACAGTCACAAAATTAACAAAATCAATAAAATCAGAGTAACAATCCCGGTGGGGGACAATCAATAGGAATCGGAACAGGTGTAGGAATCGGTACAGCCACAATTATAATCCCTGGGTCAAATGGCACTGCCTATGCATTTAATTAAACTCTAGTAAATCAAGTAATCAATCCCTCATGCGGAGTAAATTCAACCTTCCTTAAGAACAACGGACTATGTATCAGTCCCTTCCCCTGTCCCTATGGAAGCTTCGTTTAAGGCACTGGAGCATAATAGGCACCAATAGTTGCGAATGCAGAAGGTACAGGTCAAGGAATTGGAGTAGGGGTCGGTGGAAGATTATTATGAGCAAGAAACTCCAAAGTTTTCGGCTTAAAATATTCCTACAATCTTTAATCTTCACAGAGATCAAATGAACAAAGTTTGGACTGATAATTTAGAATTTAGCCTTAGTTTATGTCATTTATTTAAACTTTAGATCTCTCTTAAACTAAATTCAAATCAATTAAATTTGACTCAAATTTTAATCCTTCTTATTATTTATTTTTATCATATTTTATAATGCGGGGTTTTGGGGTTTTGGGGTTTTGGGG